GACTCGCATAGGGATTGGCACAATCAAATTCAGACCCCACTTTAACCAATCTTCACTACTCGATGCTTGACACGTAATATGATATCTGACATTTACAGTAGGTCCAATCACGTAGACAGTTCTGATCTTGCATGTTTACTACACTACACCAGTACACCATGTAGTATAGGAGACTAAAAAGTGCAACGTAACAACGGTGGAACCGCTTGTAAATCCTACATGGCAAGGTGAGGTAAAAAGTGAAAACCAAACTGGCAGGTCATCTGTAGCGGAGGACATGTTGGGAAGATCTTAGCCGTTGATTTCCATCAAGTTGAGCTGTAAACGTCGTGCTTACTAGTGGGGATTGAATTTAATAAACCAATTAACAGAGGTGGAAAATATTATAAACAAGTTTTAAAAAATGAGTGAATTTCAGAGAAAAATAAAAAAATATATATAGCGCTATCCCCGAGGGAAATTAAAGCAGAGGAATCGGGCTGTAAACTTGGACGCTAATGCACAAGCCTCAGCGGCAAACCTGCTAGATCGGTTCCTAAGGAGTTGAATTTGAACACTTAATTACCCTGTATCCATAATTAATTAATTTGTTAATTACCTGTTTACCCAGTTATCCATTTAAAAAATGTGCTACTGCTGCTACATTAGTTATTTAAGTCAGACATCATGAATTTACCGTAATACCCACGTGAGTAGCTGATATGATAAGCAACGCATAATAATCGTGTGTGGACACGTGCAGTGATAATTGCATCACCACCACCACTTGCAGTTAATTCCCTTGTTATTACATTGCGTGAAAAATTGATTTGAAGATTTCAACTGTTTTGATCGATTCACAAGGGATAAACAAGAAATAAGAGACAATTTTAAATAGTTAATTAATTAATTAATTAATCTTTGGAAATCTAAAAATGATTCTAAAAAGATAGAAATGGTATACCGAACATGAAAAGCCTCCAAAAGAAAAAGGGCACTAAAGTAACTTCGAGCACGATTTTCCTTTAAATCAATTAAAGCTTCTTTATTTGTCTGGTAAAATAAATAATTAATAACCTTTAATTGTTCGTCTTAAAACTTTAAATTTTTTGTCCTCGTCAAAATCCTCCATTTTAGCTGTCCGCCTGTCCCCTTCAATCGCAAATAAACCCTCTCTCTCTCATCACAAAACCACAACAACTGCTCACACTTCTCTCCTCACATTCTTCTAACTATACTCTCTATTGCCTTAACGTCAACTCCTGAAATAAACAAGGAAACTAAATTATGGAAGCACCAGAATTCTTTCAGGGAAACTATTGCTCACAATTTGCACCTGAAAAACACCATTCTTTTGATTCTAAAACCACCGCTGGTGACCATTTCATTGTTGAGGAACTTTTGGACTTCTCCAACGAAGACGCCGTTGTTACTGACGCTGCTACTTTTGATAACGTCACTGGAAATTCTACCGATTCTTCCACTGTCACTGTCGTTGATAGCTGCAACTCCTCTTCCTGTGACCCCAGCTTTTCCGCTGATATTGCTTGCCGGAATTACGCTGATGCTCACTTCTCTAGCGACCTCTGCGTCCCGCCGGTAATTCCATACATGCAATAATTCATCAATGTTAATGTTTAATTTTCCAGGGAAATTACATTATTCACTTTTGGGTGAATTTATTTGTTTTTTTCTGTTTTCAAAAATTTAATTATAATGGTCAACAACTGCATATGGCAATTTGCATAAAGCAATATGTTCAATAACCACTGCTTCTTTATCAAAGTAAAATTCGTACTTTAACCAATTCAAATTTTTTATATAATATAATTATAATAATAATAATATTTTTTTTTTTCTTTTCTGTTTCATTTAACAGTTAGACGATTTAGCTGAGCTCGAATGGTTGTCGAATTTCGCGGAGGAATCATTCTCCTGTGAGGACCTGCAAAAGCTCCAATTGATATCGGGCTTGAAAGCCCGCCCCGACGAATCATCCGAAACCCGCCAATTCCAACCCGAACCCGACCGAAGCAGCAACAATAATAACAATATTATCTCTAGTCCCAGCAACCCCATTTTCAATCCAGAAATGGCGGTCCCAGCCAAGGCCCGTAGCAAGCGGTCTCGGGCGGCCCCATGCAACTGGGCGTCTCGTCTTCTTGTCCTAAGCCAGAACACTTCGTCCTCGGACACCGACATCATTTCCACGGGTCCACCACCACCCCCACCACAACAAACCGCTAAGAAAACAGTTAAAGCAAGTGGGTCGAAGAAAAAAGAGTGCGGAGATGGTGGCGATGGTAGCGGAGAAGGTCGGAAGTGCCTGCATTGTGCGACCGATAAGACACCGCAGTGGCGGACGGGGCCTATGGGTCCGAAGACGCTCTGTAATGCTTGTGGAGTGAGGTACAAGTCGGGGAGATTAGTGCCCGAGTACCGGCCGGCTGCAAGCCCGACGTTTGTGCTAACAAAGCACTCAAATTCGCACCGTAAGGTGCTGGAGCTTAGGCGTCAAAAAGAAATGCAAAGGGCCCAACAGCAGCAACAGCAGCAGTTTATGCATCATCATCATCAGAATATGATGTTTGATATCTCAAACGGTGATGATTACTTGATCCACCAACATGTTGGGCCCGATTTCAGGCAGCTGATTTGATCTAGTGGACGCTAGTGTAGGAGAATTCTGCTGAAGTTATTTTCTTTTTCTTTTTACCCTTTTTTTAAGGTTAATTTAGTTGCGAAATTGGGTAGTGAATTTCGTGATATTTCTAATTTTCTTCTAGAGGAGTAATTTTTCCTAACTCTTTTGAATTTTGGTAACTCTTTATCAATTAATGTTATCTTGTTTTTGCCTTTTTTGGCAATTCTTTTTTCTTTTCCTTTTTTTAATTTCCTGACTATAAGTTATAATTGAATTACCCATAATTATTTCATAGATTAATTAAAACTTATCGTGTTTGGTAATGTGTCATTTTAGAGTTGGTTTGCAATAGTAGATGTGGCTAGTCTCATGACATATTCTCCAACCATCCATATTCCAAAATCAAGACGCATAGTACACAGCTTCTTTATTGCGCCATGAATCTTCAAAATTCGTTGGGGATTTTTATGTTTGATGTAATTAATTGGCATAAAATTGGACAACCCTTTTGAATGACATAATGGAGAAAAGAAAATTAAATACTTTTGAATGTTATAACGAAAGAACGAATGAAATGATGAAGCAAAAGAAAGGGGTTTGACGTTTGAGTAACATATACTCATACTCAAATTTTAACCACGAGGAGAGGAACATGAAATTCAGTGAAAAGGTGAAATAGTTATAGGGGATTAGGGCATGCAATGCATATTACAGAGAATGTTTGAAAGTAAATGCTGATTGGTTAACACATTTTTTCACATCGTTTTCTGCTACTTTGATTTTAAAATAAATTTTGCACAATTTTCCTCACTTTATGATTCCAAGAAATTTAATCACAAAAGAATCAAAGATCCATGCAAACTACCACGTGAAGATGACTCCATATATCCATTCTCTTAAAAATCCCTGAATGATTGAATGAATATTGATGGATAAATTTTAATTTTATGAGCAGAACAGAAGATATATTTTCTTAAATCCAAATCTTATTCCATGTGAGTGAAGATTTGTGATAATAGGAGAATAATGGTTCTATCGGGGGTAAATTTTATAGTTGACGACGATACAGCACGATCCTAGGCAACGCTAATCCATAGGTGATAGGTCTCTTTATTTTAATTAATTAAATAATTAATTAAATGAATTACCATTTTCACATCTTCTGTCTCAGTCTGCTTCTTTTCATGCATTTCTTTGGTCTGCTGCTTTACTATATTATTTTACCAGAGTGGTTGTACAATTGGTTAATTAAATTAAAGGGGATGAGAAGCACCGTTTGCGGTGGTCACATGTGAAATGGTCAGAATTTCACAAAGTTTATGATGCCATCACAAACACGAACTTTCTCAATGTCGTTTACTATCTCTTTACCAAGCCTCCCTGTGGCTGGCTGTTCATCAATTAACTGCCCTTCTTCTTCTTCTTCTTTAATTAATCTACTGCTCTGCAGAAAACAACAGTTCAATCATATAGGTGAAAGTATTAATTAATTTTAAACCAAATTAAATAAATTGGTAGTGGGTGATATTGACTTTTTTAATTCCATGCATGCAGTGCTTTGAATACCTAACCTACTCATTTTTTACTCTAATAATTTACCTTATTTTGGTAAGACCTTGAGAACATGGGTAAATTAAAGACTACAAGGATGTACTGATCCCATCCCTTTTACAATACATTAATATAATGTAAGAGAAGATAGTTCCATGTTCATTGTAAAGCCTGTTGTCTCCTATTCTCAACAGCTTCTTTCTTTATTATTTCTATTCACTTTTATCTCTCCCCATAACATGCTTCAACCAACCAATTTCATTTCTTTCATCAATTCAAATCATATAATTAAACTTATCCATATCCTTATTTAATGCATGAAATTAATATTGAGCTCTTATGGGTTTTTGAAGACTTTGTTTGTTTAATTTTGCAATTATTTAGTGGTGGAGTAAGCTGTTGGTAAATGCATGAATAATGTAAATATTGATAATGAGTGAAGAAAGAAAAGAAGAGAGATGAGATGAGATGGGCACATGTATATGTACTGTTAAAATGGAGACATGGGCGCCATAGCCAAAGTTTATTTTCAGAGATTTGGGAGACAATGGGGCACCATTTCATCAACCTCCCCACTATCTCACGTGCCCTTCACGTTCCCTCTTTTTTAATCATAATCAATTAGGTTTCGCTTACATATCAAGTTTATACACTTTTCAACGTGCCAAAACCCTCACTCACAACTCATATTATTATTGCTTAAAACAAGTATGGGATAACTAAAGTTCTCCAAACCTCTTCTTCAAACAACATCTTCTTATCTTTTTGAAAATCTTTCTTCTTTACTACATCAACAGGATGGTTGAAAATGAAATCACATAATCCATAAGATAAAAAGGCTGAGATTCAATAATTATGGGTATATTGAAATATCAATACCCAAAACTTTGATGTTCTTCATTAAAAAAAAAAAAAAGATAATTCATAGCAGACAATTTTTTTTTGTCCTTATAACAGCTTTAGGCAACTCAAATCTAACTGACAAATTTTTCAACAACTCTCAGAACAATAAATAGTTGAGAGAATTCAAAATTGTTGCAGCCTAGTCACCCTCATACACAACTGTTAATTATAACTTCAACTGATAATGAAAAGGGCCTCACAAGAAGAAAAGCAATGATCCATCAACCACCGTCTTCTTACAGCCTGTTATCGCGGCACACTGAGTCCCAGCTCTGTATGGTTCAAAACGAGGCAAGAAATTAGCATTAAATTCCTCTATAAAAAAGAAAAAAAGAATCCTGGAAGGGTTTGTCAAGTTAATTACATTGTTAAAAAACCACTTGATATTAAACAATCGACAAAGACATAGTGTATAGAAGTCAACTAAATGAGAATTAAAACTCCATCACTTAAATATTCTCCATATGTAGTGAGAGAATTGAGCAGTCGCCATAATTGGTTATGGCCACTCAATCTTGAAGTGGAACTTGGCAGCACAATAATATTTATATCTCCTTGACTAAGACTATTAAGAAACACCATGAAAGGAAAAAGAAAAGAAAGAGACGTTAAGAAATACAAAAGAAAATGTTGAAAAGTAATAACCAAAGAGAATAAACCAATGGCAACTACAAGAGGGCATGGAGAGAAAACTTGGAAGAATTCCACAACTCGACCTGACCACTAATTAACATAGGAAAAATTCCAGTATTTCAGAATTGATTACCATCTCCATATGGAGCTTCTTTGATTGGAAACCGTACAATATTGTAACTTCTTAAATGTGTCACTGACATACTTGAGATAATGTATAAACAGAGTAAACACTTGCCCGGGCTTTCTTTTTTTTTTTTTTTTTTTTTTTGGGAATAAATACCAACCTTTTCATATTTCGAACAAATTATAAATTTTCAGAGATAAATGAAGTAAAACAGCCTTTTCTGAGGCATATGCCACAACAATGTATTCTACACTCAAACATCCGAAAGTACAAGTCACTCAATCCTAACTCCAGGTAAATCATCTTTACCCAAGGAAGTTTCCAGACTGAAAGTTGGAACTTCAAGGAACTTCAAAAGAGTTCAAACAACTTTAGTTTCTTCACGTCACTTGATTAATATATTTATACTTGTAAGCCCACAAAAAGGAAGCAAAGTATACTTTGATTAATAATTCAGTATCTACTTTACACACCCAGCAACATGGAGATATTGATGCTTAAGTTTGTATAGTTATGCAAATAGAATTAAAAAACATATGCAAGTAGGGAGCATGAAACTCAATTTATTTGCCTTGGCTCCTAATTCAAACGAAGAATTCACTTAAATCACAAAAAAAGATTTTCTATATCTTCAGAAGTCCTGGAATTCATTTGCAAAGAAGATTCTATAAGTCAATCTATAAAAGAATCATATGAAAAGGAAATAGCAACAAAAAGCAAGTCAGAAGCCCAGTATTAATTGAGATTGAAAAACAATGGGGAGTTCACCTGCAATCATCTAAATTTCTAATCAATTTGATTGTAAGGTAACTGTACAAATTTTAAAACACAAAATAATTAGTCTCCCATCTTCAGAGTGTTCATTCCTAAGTTTAAAGACAATCATACATTTAACTATTGTCTTATTTTCACCGCACTATTTCAGAAGAAAAACACATTTCCTTTCTATTCTAGCAGACCAAAAATGTTGTTATATATCAGAAGTTACCATATACCTAAATCTTGTCAAGCTTTGTAAAGGTCCCTGCACTAATCCTGATTGAACTTCACGATCTAACCTTTCCAACCCATAAAAAGATCTCATGTGATCATATCCACTTTGACACAAAATCAATTGGAAATGCCTATGAATCTCCAATTCCTATCAGTTTTCCAAGTACATATAATAATTTAGTGAAAAGTATTACCCTCAATTGTTTACTTGTTATGTGTAAGTTTTCTTTCTAATATGTTCCCATGAACACTCCTAGTCCTTATCACCACCTCTCTCTCTCTTTCTCTCTCTCTCTCTCTCTCTCTCTCTCTTCCTGTTTCTTTCTTTGCTGAAATTTTTTTCTTGAAGAAGAAATTCTTACTCCTCTAATCTTATAAACTTATATCATTTTCCATTTGAAAAGCGAAATAAAGATTATAAAATGTAACAGAAGCACATCAACAAAAGAATCAAATGACTGTCTCTCTCCCTCTCTAAGTTGACAACTATAACTTTTGAACTCAAGAAACTCCCTAACATTCTCATCGAATTCTAAACAATCTATCAAGAGAAATAGAAAATTGTAAGCGCGTTGGTGTATCCGATTACTTGGATAAATTTCCTGGTTTTATATCCTTAAGAGAAATAATGTATTCTACAGGAGGGGTTTGTGCCAGTTGCATCAATGGTAATACATACTTATGAGTTTCTGAAGACCAAAATGCAAAAATGGTCTAGAAATGTTACAAATTTCCATGAAAACCCTCAATCATCAAACGGAATGGAAATTTCCCTGCTTGTGATGACTCAATAATCAAGTATTTTAAGCATCTTACTCGGCTATCAGAAATAAACCAGGCAGAAAGTCAAAACATGTTTCTGTAGCTTATTCATAGTGTCATGCATATGATAGAGAAAGTCCGTACATTTTCTTCCATTCCGTCTAGCAAAGTGAGAAAATTATGGGTTTGATAACATACAAAACGTAAATGCATCCCTACCGTGTGAAGCATCTATTGCTGATTTTTTTTTTTCTCCACAGTTCATAGATACGTTTCTCAAGTTGTGCATCAGTGCCGTTCTTCATACTGTGTATTTAAGCATTTGAGGAGCCAGTAAAAATACTGTCCATCCTCAACTTAATGAAGAAAACAAAAATTCTGCTGCTTTCCTCAAACTACTCAGCAACTAAAACGTGTAGGAACAGGCTATGCCAGAAATACTCGAAAAATCAACCTCATCCAAATATTAGATTAAAACAAATAATACGAAAAGAAAAGGGTAACGAGCAGAACATTCAAACCAAGAGTAAAAAGTTGCTTACAGAAACAAAACACAAAAGATTTGGAGATTATCAAACTCCTGGGTTTGCACTGCTAAGCATACCCTGAGACAACGATCTCGAGCCCCTTGAATCAATGCCAAGACACGACGTTAGCCTGGCCGTAGATACTGCTGTGTGCAGAGGAAGCAGAGACTGAACACAACCTAGTTGAGGAACCGACCTGAAAAGTTCATCAGAAAAAAAAAAAAATGCTCAGCGAATTTAACAGAGGAACCTGAATTACAAATCCCAACGACCAAAATTCAAAATTTCTAAGAAAGTTGAATTGGGCATGAAATAGCGCATTAAGAACTTGCCTTGAGAATGTGGAGGAAGAGGTAGTGGAGGGAAGAAAAGGTGAGGATTTGGGTTTAATGGTAGGTTTGTTGATTGTGGATTTGAGTAGAGCGTGAAGGGGTTTCGACGCAGCTCTGTAGCGAGAGGCCATTTCGGGAGAAGACAAACGTCTAAAGTTAGGGTTTCTGGAGAAACAGTGTTTAGAGGTTTTTGAGGGGTTTTACGCTTCTTTGAGAAATTACCGTTTACCAACCAATAGCCATATAGACTACAGAGGGGGAAGTATTTTTGTCTTAGCGGAATGCACACATTACTTACCACAATTTCTGCCAAGTAAAATTTATTTGATTAAATTCAGTCATGTTTTTCCTCATTAATCCTAAGACTTGTGATATTTATTAGGCTTAATTACCTGGTGTTAAAAGAGCAAAAAAAATATAACATGATTTTCTAAGTTTGAATCCAAAATAAAGATTTAACATAGTTTTCTAAGTTCGAATCCCTTTCATAATAAAAAAGCAAAATGAAGATTTAACATGGTCTCATGAATTCAAGTTCCCACGACCTTTAATAGGGATGATCACTAAAGCTTTTATCTAATCAGTAATTCCAAGTCCAAAAAAATTAGTTGAAATATACGTAAATTAATCCTAACACTTATGATTATAAAAAAAAAAAATTATAAAAAATATTTATTAGGCAGGTATTTACTGTACTATTGTTGCACTTGATTTTGAACGCCAACGACTCGCACTTGCAAAGTGCTAAAAGAGTCTTAGAAATTGCACGTGATGGATCCATGAGATTTGAATATGGAATTGAGATTATATATGTTGCAGAAACATAAATAATAGACTGATAAGAGAGGTTTTTATAGTAGTTCGGATGCTTAAAGCAAGTCCTACATCCACTGTTTTTTTATTGATCTCTGACTATTTCTATGATATTGCCTATAAGACATACAAAGATGAAGAAATGCTTTGCTTACAGAGAGAAAAAATTGAACTCAAATCCATGCCTAGCTCTCATATGTCCAGCTTCCTTTTTCGTTAAGAGAAATGTCAATTTATACATCTTTAAAATCAATATAATGAGTGTTTTACAAGTTGCATTGACACATAAAGAGCTCTCGTCTGTTCATCTCTTAAAATGAGATAAAGTTGGTATGAATATCTTTGAAGAGGTATAAGCTTGACAACTAATACAAAAAAACATTTATTGAGTTGACATAAGCGTGACTTTTTAGGCATAACAACTATCATCTCAATTTTAATTAGCAAAAGACAAATGATCTCCAAAAAGACAAATGATCTCCAATAATCCATGTAAAAGAGAAGAACATGAAATTCTTTTTTAAGAGTTTCGAACGTGTATCTTAAAACTCCATTCACATATCCCTCCGATCAGACAAAAAGAATATCACGCACGAAAGGACAATTTAGAAATTTTAATACATAATAATCCCAAATATTCAAAATGTAACTCAGAAATCACATATCCTACCCCCCATGATTGTCTAATCCAAAGTCTAATCGCAATTTAAGGTACATTGTTATCTGAAATACAAAAACTTCCCTCCAAATTAGATATAGAGAAAGCCGCTTAGCTACCTGCAGTGTAGTGGATACCAACCACCACCACCATCACATTTCCAAAGAAAAGAAACCTCTTTCATGACACAATTGACAGAATAGTTGCCAGCAAATGAGGACTTAAATTGGAGGATTTAGTCAAATTGTCCTTTTTTATCACTTCAACTTGTCATTTGGAATATTTTGGCTGAGTACTTGTTTCATCAACGCAGTTAGAGCAACCGTTGTTTCCCTGTCACTGAATCCACCAACTCTCTTGGCCCTGCCCATAGAAATAGTGTACACTATGGTTAATTTTGGGTGGACTTAATTTAAAAAAAAAATGAATAAATAAATAAAAAATTAACCATATGGGATGCAGTGATGCAGGCTTTGTTTCATATGCTTCCTTCAATGATGTCAATTGTCAACTAATATTGGCAAAAGAAAAAGTAGTATAATAAGAGAAAGGTAAAAGAACTGAAAGTATTCTGGCAGCCAGATGAAGTACAGCATACCAGGTCCAACAGTGAGAACTGTCTTTGAGCCAGCAGAAACCTGTAAGAAATAAAACCCTCAATAATTTACCTTTAACTATCTAATTTGAGCGAAAAGTTAAAAACAAAAATCAAATTATTGTGATGAAAGAAGAAGAAATCTCAACATTATTCATGATAGACTAGTATTCCAAGTTTCGTATCAATAGTTACATGCATAACCAAAAAAGTAGTGTTCTTTATACATATTAGTATAAGCCAATACAACTACTCCAGCAGTACATTAGCCACAGTTTGCTCATTTTCATATTCTTAATAATAAGATAGAATTGAACCTGCAGCCCAAAAGCTGCAACTTGTGATTCAGCTGTTGACTGATTGCGACATCATCAAAAAAGCACATTGAACTTAATGCATCTGTTTCTTACCTAGATGGCATCATCAACAAGGTCAGAATAAATAGCACATAAAATTTGTCATTCTAAGATCTCCAACAATAACTTTGACACCGTGATAATGGAAAAAAAATTGATTGAATTTGCATGCTTTTGCAGCAAACTCAGTGCAAAACGGAATCAAAGACAATCTGAAATCATATGGCAGCCAAGTGTCCTGCAAAACTCTAATCAAAATGAAATGTTCAGAGTGACCAAACAGTTTATACATGGTAAGCCCTCAGTACATGCCTAATTACAAAAAGCCCAAAACTGAACCCACAATTTGATATATAATAGCACAATCACAACCAACAAATTCCAGAACGTTACAAATTTTGAAATGATGAAAGCTTGAGTCATATTTCAGAGGACAATCTGCCTTTGGAGATATGAATGCGGCCATAAAACATGCAGAGAAGATACACAACTATAAATGTATCTATCCATGTACGCATGATGCTTACTTCAAAACTTTTCTAATTCAAGGAGTTATAGGTGCCCTCTCAAGGCTTTTAAACCTAAGATGCCAATATTCTATTATTTCAAAATTTACCCACCACATACTTATTAACTTGTCTCGCAGTTACTCGGAATTGATTCTGCAATTACACAGTAAAAAATGGTACCTGGGTCCTTCCGGCATCCGCAACAACAAAAGTGGGAAGACCAATGATTTCAGCTGCTTCCTTCAGTTTATTCCTGATCAAGAGAATTAATATTCCCACAAATTAGCAATTGGAATTTTTTTTTTTTTTTTGGATAAGAGCCCAAGGCGAGGTCAAGCACAAGAGATGTACTGCTGCTATGTATTTATGAGAAAACTATATTGTTCACAATGAAATCACCTGCTTACATTTCTTGTTGATTCTTGCATGTAACCACTATTTTGGGTTGCCCACATTGCTCCCATTGTCTCAAAAGGGACCGGTCACTGCAAGGAATACTGAATGATGCAACTTTGAACTGATAATATAAACAGTCACACAAAAAGTAATGACTGGAGAACTCTGAAAATGAAAAATTATAACTAGCACAATTTTTTCTCCATATTAAAGTGCTCTCTTCCATGATTTAAGATGATAAAGTTAGATATCATATCTTTAAGCTTATTGATCATCCTGGTAAGTTCATAATTCTTGAAATCTTTCAAACAATTACCCAAGTGAGTGTCCAGTTTGAACACAGATACACATGCTACCGGGAATAACATTGCAGTTTCATTTATGAATACCAAATTTATAGATCTGAACTTCCACACGCTGTTTATTTCAAAAAGTTAGTTGTTAGACTTAGAGCATCTTTTAAGATCTTGGATTAGAGAAAGATACCCATTATTGGCACATGTCTACCTTTGCATAAGTACTGCATACATGCCAGTGGCAGCATCTGCAAATTCATAAAATAAATATTTGATCAAATACTTTAGATATATGCAGCATAAACCATAAATTAAGATCAAATGCACAATCCTCAATTTTATTACAAATTTGAATATCTTACGAGCACATTGAGATGCAATCTTTCCTGACCCCATCTTCAGGTCTTGTCTTACTATCAAAACCTGCCATGCTCTGAACAAAGTTATACACAGAAAAATATAAAATTGTGAAACCCACTTATACTAATACCTCATCTTTCCTAGCAAACACAAACCAAATTGGATTCATTATGAACATTTGAACAGATTGAAATAAGAAATTAATAGCAACACCAAACAAGCACTTGAACAAACCATTTTGACGTCTTGATCACCGTTACTCGAGACCGTAAAATGTTCTTGGGGCTTCCCTGGCAAGAAATTTTTCTTCTTTACATTACTTTTAGCCGGCTTTGATAAATCCAACAACATCCCAAAAATGAAACCAATTACAAGCCCTGGAATGAAATTCTCTGCCCTAAAACTCGCTGCAAACCATTCTTTCTCTTGCTTTTGCTGCTAGGATATTACACAAATAATCAAGCAACAGTAAGAAGAAAAAAGAACACTAAAAATTCGAACTTTTTTCTTAATTTTTTTACAAGTTGAGTAAACCGAGGCTAACAACTACTTGGGTTATGTTAAATAGGAGTGGAACATAGGCATTCCAAGTTTACTTTCTTTTACTCTTGTCTTTCCAAACATTCTCTCAGTTCTCCGTAACCAAACTGAACAAATTGAATTGATTACAGAAATTTCAATAAGAGCTGATTATTAAGTACCTTGTTCGAAAGCTGAGAAGAATTTCGATACGAACCCCACATCCTGGACTTCAGGAAACTGATTATTATTGAGTGGTGAATAGTTAAAACGGTCTATGATAAAAAGGATTTTTGCGTTTCGGCAGGAAGGTACGCAGATAAAACGAAAACGCCGTCGTTTTTTAATAATTTATTGAAATAATCACTTTTGTTGGAATTAATAAATCCAAAACTTTTAAATCTTATAAAAATTTTGTTTTGCTTTTTTTTTTTTTTAAATGATTAGAGTGTTCGGGCAACTTACACGTATCTTAATTAATTTTATAACTATTAGTTAAATAAAAACTTTAGTAATTATCTTTATTAATGATAGAAGATTCAAACTCAAAACTTTTAAATAATATATCAAAAACTCTATACCAAATCATTTAATCACTTAAAAGATAGTTTTGATTTTGCTATTTCAGTTTGGTCTTTCCATGGACCATGTTTCTGATTGATTAGGAACCATTTTGGCAAACTCATTAATTTAGGAATTTTTAATTAAAGAAATATGATTTTGCTCCCAATTTGGTTTATTATTTAATTAAAAAGAAACAAGTTATCGTCTCATTAAATCATAATCTTATTTTATTACTGCAACTTGAATAACGTGGCTTACAGAGAAGGTCATCACACAAAGTCAAGGTTTAGAATTGGAATTGCAGTTCCCCACGTTTCACTGTTTAGTGTTTCCCTATCCAACCGCTATTCCTCACGTGTCCTTCAACACCACACAAAGAATCTTAACCACTAATATTCTCTTACAAATCGGAGTTTCAAACGCCTCTCTTTCTCCTTAACCTCATTTACCCATTAACTAACTTCATTTCCTGTCCCAAAATGGAGTCTGTTGCCTCCAGTTCAACCCCTCCTCCCGATCAACAAGATCCCCGTTCCCAGCCCCGCTTCAGACTCACCCAACCCGTCACAGACCGTATAGGCCGAGCTCTCCGCCATCAGCTCCGCCTCCTCCACCGATCTGATTCTCTCTTTTTCATCTTGGGTGCCACTGGAAATGTTTACACCGTTAACTTATCCTCCGCTCCGTCATGCACATGCCCAGATCGCATTACCCCATGCAAACACATTTTATTTGTGTTTATCCGCGTTCTGGGTGTTTCTATTGATGACACGTGTCTCCGGAGGAAGACTCTCCGTCCCTGCAAGGTCAACCGTTTACTTGCCACGCCCACATTGCCGGAAGCATTGGCGGGGGCTGGCCTTCGCCATAGATTTCATCAGCTGTTCTTTCGAGCAAGGAATGAAAATAGTTCAGAAGGATTAATTGAAATAAAAGATACAAGTACGTGTCCTATATGTCTTGAAGAGATGGGTAAGGAAGAGAGAGTGGTGACTTGTGGGACGTGTAGGAATTTGATTCATGAAGAATGCTGGATGAGGTGGAAGAGAAGTAGGGGGAGGCGATCGGCTAGTTGTGTGATTTGCCGTTCAAGGTGGAGGGGTAGGAGTGATCAAGAGCAATATCTGAATTTGGCGCCTTATTTTAGCGAGGAGGATGAAAATGCGGCGGAGACGAGCGGCGGTCTCTGCGGTGGTTAGCAAGTTAGCTGGATACGCATGTAAAAATCATATAAATTTGCCTGAAAGTGTAAGATCAGAATATAGAATTGTTAAATTGAATCACGTTCTTTAATTCATTTGTAAATACAATCAGTCGCTAGGTTGATCTTCATTTATGTAATAAATGGATTTACCCTGTAGAGAAGATCAAAATTGTTAAATTATGCGATGTTCTTTCATTTGTTTATAGCTTAATGTGAAAAAACAAAAAAATGTTTAGCTACAGGAACAGGTTAACGTTCCTGATAATTAGTTATTTCAGTTCTTTGTTAATATCTTAATTTTTCCTTAATTAAGGATTACCCACGTTGATTCTTAGCTATTTATGCTACATTATTAATTTGACACGGCAAGTTCTATACACAAAAGGCCATTGATGACATCGCACGTGCAGTGGAGCATAAGAGCTTAAAAATGCAGAAAAAGTAAGAAGAAACATTAGAAGTCCCCTAGAAGTGGAGCTCTTAATCAGAGCGAAGATGAAATTCTTTTAATTTCGTCTTTGTTTGATGCTACATTTCTACTGGGATAGCGTTAACTTTTGCGTCTGAGATGCTTTTCCAAGTATTCGTATATAGATATACATCTTACCCACGCAAAGACATGTTCCAAATATTCCTCTTGCTTTTATCTATACATACGTAAAATTAATTAATTAATTAATTATTTAAAAATCACTATTTATATTTGATAATGTAACATACAGATGATTGTAATATATCTAATGTGTTCTAAGATGCAGCTTCTAATTACAACAAATAGATAGGATAAGCATGATCCTTTTGTTTTTGGTCAAGTGTTATTGATTGATTTATTTATTTTAAGGTTCAATCACCAATCAAACTCAAACAGCTTCTAATTTCAGTGGACTAGTCAACCTTAAAAGGAAATTTCTTAATTTCAATTTTATCACTACATTTTTAGATAATTACGACTTAGCCATTGACATTGATTCCAAAAACTTTATATAAAGCCCACGTATATCCCGATCACCTCATTACTCAACACTTTCACTTGCTGATCCAACTTTGAGCATTCTACAGTGTACACTATTTCTTTACTGACAGGGAAAATGGATCACACTGCAGCACCTCCAGACTTGCGCCGCAAGGTCGTCGCAGTCGCTGCCGGTGAATCTCACACTCTTGCTCTCTCAGGTAAAAAAAAAAATATATATATATATATACATAATTTTTTTCTTTTTAATCTTTTTGTTGTTGGTTATAATTAAGTTTTGGAGGGTTCTTGTTGTAGGTGATGGGTGTGTGTATACGTGGGGAAGAGGAATGTTTGGGCGACTTGGTACGGGTTCTGAATCCGATGAATTAACTCCGGTTCGAGTCAATTTTGACATTTCTGGTCAATCAGAAAATAAGAAGCTTAAAATTGTTGGAATTGCTGCTGGTGCTTATCATAGTGTTGCTCTCGCAGGTCAGTGTAGCTTATGATTCATTTTAATTAGATGCTCAAATATACTTCAGTTTGGACTTGTTAAATGTGGATAGTGGAGATTTATAATTGTTAAGTATCTACAATAATTAATGGCATTTGATAGTATGGTAATTGATATATCCAGATGGCCATTTTCTTGTGGAAATGAAATTTATTATGACTGATTAATTCTTTGGGTAATTAATTAACTCTAACAGATGAAAAATGTAGAGTGTGTTCAAGTATTAAATTGAAAAGGTGAAAGAAAATATGGAATAATTTTAGGTGAAGCCAATATTGCTGTGATGCTCTAATTTTCTTCGGCTTCTATGTTATTACAGATGATGGCTCAGTGTGGTGTTGGGGTTACAACATCTGTATCCTCCTTACATTTTATTTATTTATTTGATAGAAAACAAATTATTATATGGTTTAAAACAAAACTGATACAAAATATTAGGATGAAACGATGGCAGTTAGTAGAAAAAAAAATCTCTGTATTATATCATGGAGAGGTTCTGAACTCGCAGTCTTTTGCTGATTTGGATAAAAAGGAACCAAGGAATCTCTGTAGACTCCATAGAAGAGGATATCAGTTTTTTGTGGGACAAAGTTTGTTTACTTAGCATCTTTATGGGTTTCTGTTACTAAGGAATTCGAGGATTGTTCTTTTTTCTTCATGCTGGAAAATATAAGGCAGTTTTACACTAAAGTTAGGGCTTCGTATGGGTGTTATCTTGATGTTTTTTTGTGAATTCAGTGATTCAACAGAGTAAATTATGAGAGATTCTTCGTTAGTACTTTATTCTGTTAGCCTTTTTTCCGTGTCTTGTTTGCATCCCTTGACTGTTATATGGATGGCCAACTTGGTGGTAACGAAGAGAATTCTGCGGTACCCTGCTTGATGGAGCAGTTCCTTGATTCTTTGACTGATGAATCCAAAGCAAAGTATAAAGCACCAATTAAGGTATGGATTGTGTTGTATGTATCATGTCCTTGTCAAGTTAAGAGTTAAACTTGTTAAGCTTCTTATCACTTTGTATACTACAGATTTGTTCTGTCAAAGCTGGTGGAATGATGTCTTTTGCTATTGATAACATAGGGGCCTTGTGGATTTGGGGCAACTGCCCTCAGCAAACCAGCGTCACTGAAGCTGGTTTCTCTCTTGTAAGCAGTTTTACTCCTGTTCCTGTCTGGGATTTCTATGGTCACACTGTTGTGAAGGTGGCTTGTGGAAGTGAACATGTTTTAGCCCTAGTTAGTGCTGGAGAAACTTATAAAGGTGAAGATCTAGTATGCTATTCTTGGGGTAATAACAACCATGGTCAATTAGGCTTGGGAGATAGAGAGCCCCGGTCCCGTCCTGAAATCATAGAGATGTTTAAGCAGGACTCACCTTGGGCAGTTTATGAGGTAGCGTGTGGGTCCTTCCACACAGCTTTGCTTACTCACAAAAAGAGACCAAGTGACACATTAGGAAGTACGTGCTGGACGTTTGGCCTTGGTGAGAATGGTCAGCTTGGCCATGGAACAACCCATAGTGCATTGGTTCCCGAACCTGTAAAAGAATTACCACAGTATGCATATCTAATCTCTGTTGACTGTGGCTTATTTCACACAAGCGTTGTGTCATCTGCTGGAGAGCTGTGGTCGTGGGGAATGGAAAGAGGTCTTGGTCTATGCCCGAATGCTAGTTTTTCCAGTGGTGAAACAGGCGATGCTTATTCTCCCCTCCTAATTCAGTGTAATGGGCTTCGTGAACCCAAATTTCAGGATCCTGTTCAAGTTGCTTGTGGGGCTGCTCATACTGTTCTTGTTGCACATGATGGACATAAGCTCTGGTCTTGGGGTAGGGGTAGAAGTGGGATTTTAGGAAATGGTAAGGCAGTCGATTGTTTTGCTCCCAGTGTTGTGATGTGGCCTCCACTTACAGAGGATTTCAAGCAAGAGGAACTGAAGACTGCTGTTGAGGAAGATAAGACTGGAGAGAAGGATTCTGAAAGAGTTGAAGAAATGGATAAAAAATTGTCTTCGGCAATGGAGGAGATAAAGCTCCTTCAATCAAAACTCTCTGTAATGGAAAGATATGCTAGTATACTTCATGGCTCAATTTTTGGTAAACCTTTTGAAGAGCAAGATATTCCAATGTCATTGAAAAACACAGGTTTTTTTGACATTACAAAGGAATGGGAAAACATGTTAGAATCAGCAGATCGCAGTACGCTTGTAAGGTTGGAAATGTTCTATAGAAAGATGGTTGGTAGTGTCAAGGATAAATTAATGAAGAGAAGGATCCAGGAGATCATAAAGGAGACTCTTCATTCTTCAACTACAGGGATATAACTTAATCGGTCGCATTTTTTAGTTTGAATTGAAGAAAGATTGCGCATATAATAAACAGAAGCTTGTTGATATGTTTAATTAAAAGGAGGGTTTTTTTGTTTGCATGATCTTATAAGATTGGGTGATTTCTTGTAATGTGCGTTGTGGTAGTTGGTGTTTATTATTGGTAATAACACAAAAATGTAATGTATCCTCGTCCAAAAATAAAATGCAGATGTCATCATCTTTTTTTTTTTTTTTTTTTTTCGTTTTTCAGGAAAAAATGTATTCATGTAAAGACTTGGTACCATCCTGACCTTGTAAGTCTAATGCAACTGGCAAAATTCAAATATTAAGTAAGGAAAATGGATAATTTATTGGCTGCTAAAATTCGAGACTGGGAAGAGAAATTATTCAATAGTTTTAGAATTTCTAATGCATGAGTCTATAGATTTTAAAATAAAATGAGAAAAAATAAATAAATAATTGCATGAATTAAGAGGTGTGTGACATACACATGCACTTGCATCATGGGATGCAGTAATGTGATTCGATTTAATTAGTTGGATATATAAAAAGCCTTAGATTAAATAATGTTGATCTTATTGCAGATAATTTGTTATTGACTCTGAATATATGGTATTTGATATTACAAGATATATTAAGTAATCAAGATTAGTTAAATATAGTCAAAATATAAAGATTTTAATTATGCAAACCATACATAAGAGCTCCTAACTAATTTTAAAAATATTTACGTATTAATTCAAAAAATTATTATTAAGCGTTATTTAAAAAATATTTAATCTCAGGGGCCCACTCTGCGGCTCTAGTAAAACGATGCGCATGTTAGCAGAGCTCTACTCGCTTAATATTACAACTCCCTCCAAAAATCCGAGGCTGTTTCTTGACACCCCTCAGGTTTCTTTCAGAGAAGGAAAGTTACACCCCTCTAATTAACCACGTTAAGGAGATATAGAGTAATGCTATCTACACTAACCAATCTTACTAACCCTAGTACTAATTGACATCGCAAATGCCATCTCATCTACCACACCACTTAATGGCCACGTCAATTTTTCCAAAAAAATATATTTTTTTTCTTCAAATATCACTTCCCATAAGTTGACTCCCTAAATCAAATTCATTTTCTCTACAATACAAACACTGCATTTTTTCCCCATTCCTTTCAATTTTTACCTCTCATCTCACAATCAGTTTCTCAAAATTTCCCAGCCGATCTCATCCCAATTTCATTACATGTCGCAACGCCTCACCAAACGCTGACAAACCAAACCTGAATCATCTTTTCCATACGTTGCCAAACACCGCCACGCCACGCCACTCCTCGCCAGATGTTGCGATGCCTCACTAGACGTCGACAAACCAAAGACTAACCATCGTTTCCATGCCTCGCCAAAAGCTGTCACGTCTTGCCAAACCAACCGAAATCGTCGTTTCCACGCCTCGCCAGATGCCGCACCTTGCCATATGTCGTGACGCCTCACCAGATGCCGAC